TCCTTCCTAGACAGTCTCTTCCCATTCTGTATGTGTGAAACTGATTGTTCCTTCCTAAGTGGAACACTTTGCATTTGTCTTTATTGAACTTCATCCTGTTTACCTCAGACCATTTCTCCAATTTGTCCAGATCCTTTTGAATGATGACCCCTATCCTCCAAAGCAGTTGCAATCCCTCCCAGTTTGGTATCATCTGCAAACTTGATAAGCGTACTTTCTATGCCAATATCTAAGTCGTTGATGAAGATATTGAACAGAGCCCGTCCTAAAACAGATCCATTCAGAACCCCACTTGTGATACCTTTCCAGCAGGATTGGGAACCATTAATAACGACTCTCTGAGTACGGTTATCCAGCCAGTTATGTACCCACCTTATAGTAGCCCCATCTAAGTTGTATTTACCTAGTTTATTGATAAAGCTATTATGCAAGACCGTATAAATTGCCTTACTAAAGTCTAGGTATACCACATGCACCGCTTCTCCCTTATCCACAAGACTCGTTATCCTATCAAAGAAAGCTATCAGATTGCTTTGACATGATTTGTTCTTTACAAATCCATGCTGGCTATTCTCTATCAACTTACCAGCTTCCAAGTGTTTGCAGATGATTTCCTGAATTACTTGCTCCATTATCTTCCCTGGCACAGAAGTTAAACTAACTGGACTGTAGTTTCCTGGGTTGTTTTTATTTCTGTACACTCTCAAAACGGTGTCAAAACCTAAGTAATATACAAAATCATTCCCACCCCACCCCCCACTAGCTTTCCTGGTGGAGAAGCCATGTATTGTTCTGTCTGTGTTGTTTCTCATTCACACACAGAATCCCTGTTCACCTCCCTCTTTGGTAAGAGCTCCAGCCATGCGGAGGGCTCTGGGCTCTGCAGGTTTAGAAATAGGCAGGGGTTTAACTCCAGAGCTGGATGTGCGTCAGCAGGGCCACCAGAGAGCACAGATCCTAGGAACTCCTCGTTAGGGCATCACAATTCCCCACACCTCCCCAGATGTCTGCCTCCCCCGAGGGAGCTCAGTGACCATGTTCCCATCCTCTTGGATTCTACGTTCCCCCAGCACAGCAGAGAGAGAGGTTTCAGTTTGACAGACGCTCTCCCAATCCTCCACACACCCTGATCTGCTCTGATTTCACCACCTGCACAGGATTCCCCCTTCCCAAACCTGACCTGATCAGCCGGCTGGAACGAGGAGAAGAGCCGTGGGTGCCCGATCTCCAGGCCTGCGAGGAAAGAGAGATCCCAAGAGGTGCCCACACAGGTGAGGACTGACACAAAAACCGTCTGGTGAATGAAGGAAAAAGTTGAAAATCCCAAAAATATGGTAGCAGTAAGTGCCCTCGGTTCTTCCTCATCTTGCCCAGGGCAGGGCTACAGTCAGCAGATATCACTGACATCGTTTCCCACATGTCCTGTTACCTGCAGGTTTTTCCTTCCCAAAGTTCCTTCTCTGTGAATTTTTGGGTGGGAAGTGGAGGCAGAATAAAATTGCTCCCTCTGGAGCTTTAGTATGTTGGGTTTTCCCTCAGTGATATTCCTCTTTCTTTCTCCCAGGCACAATGACGCCTGTCTGGATTGTCTCTCCCCCAGCAGCTGACGAGACAGTGAGTGAGAAAAAAGAGGGAAATCAACAGCAGGAAGTTCCTGGGCACGAGGAATCACAGGGGACCTTTGAGGGAAGAGCTGAAGAGAATATTTCCCAGTGCTTGCAACAGGGACAAGCCTGGGGAAATTGGCAGAGCTCAGAGAGGCTGCTGAGAAACCACTCAAGGGAGCAGATGGATGAATCTATTATCTGTGGGAAAGGATACAGGGATCCCACAGCCCATCACACAACCCCTAAGGAAGACAAACACTATGAATGCCTCAGTTATGGAAAAGGATTCATTCTGAGACCACAGTTTGTTTCACCTCAGCCAATTCATACTGGAGAGAAATCACTTCAATGCTTGGACCATGGGAGAAGCCACACAGGACAGAAATTCTATCAATACCTTAAGGGCAGGAACTCTTTGAATTGGAAGTCAGCACTGACTACATATCAGATAAGCCACATAGGAGAGAGACCCCATAAGTGCTTGGACTGTGGGAAAAGTTTCCTACGGAGGTCAGACCTTGTTAAACATCAGGCAGTCCACACAGGAGAGCAACCCCATAAGTGCTTAGACTGTGGGAAAAGTTTCACATGGAGATCAAGCCTGGTTCAACATCAGAGAATCCACACAGGAGAGAGACCCCATAAGTGCTTGGACTGTGGGAAAAGTTTCCTACGGAGGTCAGACCTTGTTAAACATCAGGCAGTCCACACAGGAGAGCAACCCCATAAGTGCTTAGAC